TTCTGTATGCCGTCTTAGAAAGCATTTGCCAGCCCAAGTAAAATAATTGAATAAGGACAAATTCTTTAAGGTCTTTACAGGGTCTCACTTGACTTTCTGTTTCAGGAGAACAGTATGGAATTAGCTTTCGAAGTCATCTTAAATGAGAGGCTTTTCTTAGTAAAGACACAAGGCAATAGTAAGAAATGCGCTACAGCACAGCTAGCGCAAGAAGGTTCCTGAAGCCCTGAGATTTACTAAACTGTCTGTCTAACTGATTTTGCTCCAATTTGAATCTTCCCAAAGCTGACCTCTTAACTTTTAGTAAAAATCTGGGAAACTGCCAGAATCAGCAAGACAAAACCAGGACTTCTCCTTCACAATGGTTTGGGCATTTACTTTACCTAGATTATAGATTCTCAAGCAAAATATGTTGTTATCTCTAATTCAAAGGCCATTGTCCATTCATTTTTTTTTAAAACTATTTTCGCCGGTCAATTCAAAGAACAAAACCTAGCTAGCATCCTTAGGGAAGCCACACAATGAGGGCTTTGTAGTTGTTCTCTCATCCAGAATGATGTCATCTGGGAGAGGAATCACCTCCATCTGTTCAAATGAGACTGACCAGTGCTTTCCCAGCCTGTGTGATGGATAAAATAGGAGCAAGAACATTTTAGTGTAAAGATGTTTTAGGTTGATAGCCAAGGTTATGCCATTTCCTTCATGCTGCCTTCAAAGTTTTTAGATGTTAAACTATCTCTTACTTTCTCTGAAACCAAGAAAGAGAGAGAGGGCGGGGGACAGGGATCCATGGAGACAGAGAGACAGAAAGAACAGAAACAGACAGAGATGCAGAGAAAGAGACCAAGACAGACACAGAGAGAAACAGAATCAATGACAGTGTGCGTATGTCAAGGCGGGGGCCCTGAGCTTATCCTGGGAACACTTGGTTGTTCCTGGTTTCAATGCTCAGTTATCACACTGTCCAGTCACATGAATAACTGTGTGCACCATAGCTTTAGATAGTTTTACAGGAGACTGTATGGAACACCAGGATGAGGAGCAGTTTGTGGTCCAGGAGACTCTCATCTGAATGCCCATCCTGGGACTTCTTCTCTCACAGCCCTTTCCCTTGGCCTTCCTTTAAATATCTCCTGGAATCCCTAGCTGCTTCCACTCTTTTCTGGGTCTTGACTTTGGAAGAATCTCAAGTCATTCTCAATGTGGCATATTAAATGGTATCTTTTAGATCAATTCACTAAATGAAAGTATCTTTAAATTATTAGCCTATCTTTCCCACATATTTTGACATTGTATGGTTAAGTGTGACATGAGCATCTACTTACAAGGAGACTGAACAGGGTCATGCTAGTAGAGCTTGACCCTGTACAACTACATGACCCCTAAGGAATAAGTTCAGAGTCATATGCAGCATTAAGGGGTGCAGAAGTTGTGATAGGCTGAATAAAGATCCCTCAAGGATGCCCGTGCCCTAATTCTCAGAACCTGTGATTATGTGACTTTTATATGAAGAAAAAGGAATTTTGTAGATGTCATTAAACTGAGCACCTCAAGTTTTGAATTACCTGAGTGGACTTAATGAAATCATAAAATTATTGTAAGATCAGCAATCAAGATGCTAAGTTGTTTGTTAAGGCCATGAACCTCAAACCAAGGATTGTAAGTAGTTTCTAGAAACTAAGAGGCAATTAAATCCATCTCTCCTCTAGCTTTAAGAAAGAGAATTTTGCCTTTTGCCTTCTGGCTTCCATAATTAGGTGATAATAAATCTGTGTCACCTTGAGTCAATGATTCATAAATGTAACTTTGTTATAAAGGCCTTAAGAATCCTCTCAGTCACACATGCACCTCCAGGTCCTCTATGGGAAACAGTTCTCCATATTTTCCTCTGTCCTCCTTCCCTTGATCTACATACACTGTCCCTGATGTTTTAATGGCTCCGTTGCATTGTATCCTCTTCACAAAGAACATCTGTAGCTATGCACTCCCATCCCACACCTGCCAATGCTAACATGGCCCTTTGGCTCCTCCCCTCGTCACACCTGTACCTTCACCACAGCTGGCATTTGGTATTTGTTTTGGATGGTCGTGTTGCCATCCAAACAACACTACTACCAGCTTGTCGTCTCACTACTATCAGCTTGATAAGTACACAAGCCTGATCTTGCCCACTCTTGTGGATCTGGTGCCTGGTGGCAAACACAAGCAGCTTCTGGGTGGGTTAAGAATCCTCAGAATTCTGCAGGTCTCCCGTGGTGGGTTGAGCTGGTGACATGGTGCCATTCATTTAGAAGCATGAGAAAGGTAACAGCTGAGCTTGGGTCTGTGCTCTCCACCTTTGCTCACAGAGAAAGTGAGCCTGCCAGACTTCGCAGTAAGTCACATGTTCCTGAAGTCCTGGGGACAGTCACCACGTCTCTTTCTGAGGGACAACTGCTAAAAATTGTTGCGTGCTGAATGGGTAACAGAGAAAACGGTATGCGGTTTCTAAAATACTCTTTCTGTGTAGCATTTGGGACTCTTTGTTTTTGCCTTATTTCTATTTGTGTTTTAATTTTAGTGCTGGAGAACTAATCATAAGATCACTAAGAAATCAGGAGTTTCTTGAGCGGGGCGTTTATAACTTCTATTATTTTGGATTCTCTGATTTTCACAGTCAAAGCTGATGCTATACTGGGGTTCCCTTAGGATGGAGAAGTGGGTAGCGCTTTTGCGTAGTCTCATTAAGACCTCAATGAAGGAAATACAAGTGATATGGTTAGTTTCTATTTATATGTGTTTCAGCCTATTTCAATGCTTTGTGTGTCTGTGTACATGCAGAAGAACATGTGTGTGGGTGCATGTGCATCTGTGTGCACATGTATGAAGAGATCAGAAGTCATCTTGGGGGTCATTTCTTAAGCACAGTTTTCCTTGTCTTACTAAACCGGGACTCGCACTGCACTGGTACTCAACAACAAAACTATTTGGGCTGTGGCACCCCACAGAGTCAAGTTTTATCTCGTTTCAGCTGTGGGATTACAGCTGTGCTTTTACCCTTCTCAGAAGTTTTTTAAATGTGGGTTCTAGGGGTCAGAATCAGGTCTCAGTGATTTCACAGAGAGCACCTTTGCCTACTGAGCTATCTCCCTACCCCTCAGTAATGTTTTTGAAAAAGTAAAGTTTCATGAGTAGTAGAAATATGTACAAATGGTTCTTAAATAGTAGATAATTCCTCCCAATAATTATGCTATATTTTCTACATAGTTTGCACATACATGGCACTTTTATTTAAATTGGTTTTAAATTCAAGTATTTTAAAAACTTTTTTATTCTTGAGAATTTCACTGGAATAAATCCAACATCCCCCCATTTACTCCACATTTATCACCATAGCCCCCCCCAAAGTCTCTCCCAAGTTCATCATTTCTTATTATTCTTTTCCTTCCCCCCCCTTCTCCCACTCACTCCCCCTCCATCTTGGTAGCCCCCTGGGTCCAATTAGTGCTACCTGTACCTGTGTTCCTCCTCACAACCATCTGGGCATAGATTCTAATCATCTTTTCATAGGAAGGAAATTTGGTTTGGGGGATTTACATAGAGCAAGTTCTTTAAGGCCCCGGGTAGCGCAGTGACAGTGGTCTGCTCCCCTGGTCCAGATGCTCACAGTCTCCCTAGACTGCACACAGTCACCAGGAACCTTCACTCAGCATAATTTTTGAGGGCTCGGTTCAAATCACACCAGCTCAGATTTCTCTGGGCCCACACTTCAAAATGGAAAACAGGCAAATAAGTTGGGCTGCTAATTTATTGCCCAGAACCTAGTATGTTCAGAATCCCCCTTTGCACCTCTCAGAATTCTTCACTGCCGTGTGCTATGGGCATGTTTTCTATGGGAAGATAGCAACATGTAACTGTCACAGCAGGCACAGATCACAAAAGCTAGGAAGACTGTCTAATCGATTCACCTTTGACTTTATAAAACTTTTGTAAGACTTTAATGAAGACAAATTATTGTGGTCGTTGATTGTCAGCCTCCTGTGTAGATGCCTCCCCTTAACAAGATCACATCACATCGCAGTAGGGTAGAAAGACTGCTCCCAGTTCACTGACGATGAGGTGGAAAAATGCAGGAAGGTCGCCCACATTCACCCCCAGCCTGGTTGGCTCTTCTCCCTTAGACATTAATCAGCTAAGTCAATCAGCTTTGCTGACTGTGGCGCCAAATGGGTCTTTCTGGGTATCTGGCAGCTCCAGGATGAACGCTCCGTAAACTGATATTTGAGCAATTAGTATATCTGAAACAAAGAGTGTCTATACCCACAGCAGAGTCTGTCAAATGTCGTTGCAGGCATTGCTAGACTGTTTCAGGTCTATAGGACCTAATGGCCAACTTGTCTGCTTTCTTTTCCGCTGAATTTGTTTGCATTGCCGTGTGTCCATAACCATGAAACCAAAACTGCCTACTTGATTCCATGTTCTGTGCTGAAAAATACCCATAGCCCTTTTTCCTTTTTTCCAAAAAGGAAAAAAAAATGTCTTGGTGTGATTTGAAAGTTGGAGGGGGAATTTCACTGTTGAGACTACATAAAGAAACAGCAGAACGCAGCCGAGGGGCTGACAGGCGACATAAACACAGCACCTGCTAAGGCGCGGGGAGAAGCCACCTTGAGACTTTAAAACAGCCTCCCCAGAAATAATATCTTTATCCAGATACGTGGTCCCGTATGAATTATACTATTATTTTAGCTGATTTTCCCTGACATCACACTATGATTTTTTTTTCTGTGACAAGAAAATTGCAGCCAACCCTTGACAGTCAATCACAAATTGACTGAACAAAACAAAATCACACAGTGAAGTAATCCCCAAGCAAATTTAATGAAACCTAAATCCCGAAGGGCTGCGCACTTCTGTAGGCAATGGTCTTATTTAATAAGTTGCCCCTGCTTTCACTTTTAGGACCGTATTTCCACAGACAAATGCAATTCATTGGGGTTGACTTCTCCTCTCCCCCTCAGTCTGCCCACCAGGCACGTACGGGGAAGACTGTAACCAGGTATGCCAGTGTTCAGCAAGGAACGGAGACTGTCATCCAGTCACTGGGAGATGCACTTGTCGGCCTGGCTACCATGGAAACCACTGTCAGTTCCGTAAGTACAGTCTGTGCAGAAGTGGGATTTGCTGAGGAGATACCAGTAGGACAGACAGGCTGTCATTCACAGTAAAAGGCGCAGGTGAATGAAAGACTTATCTCTATAACAAATTCTGTGGGATATTTTACTTGAATAGTAGGAAGCATTATCTTCCAGTCTCTCTCGGCTTCCCCCTTCTCCATCTCTCTTTTGGTCTCTCATGATCGATTTTTTTTTTTTTTTTTTTTTGCCAAATTCTTCACAAGTATCCAATAAGAAAAGAGACAAAGAAAAAAGTATCAGGAAATTATGTGCATATCATTATATATCTACCAAGAACAAATGACAACAAATTTAAAGAGATTCGAATGTAAGTTGATCCCATGCCTGCTTCGAAACAAAACTTAAGTGAATTGTTATTCTGTAAGGAAAGCAGTGACTTGGGTAAGTGACAAAACACCAGTTGCTCCTGGTCCAGTAGTGCGACAGTATCCTCCCTAAACTCAGAACTTTATATTGATTTGCTGGAACCATTTAACATCAAAAAATGGTGATAGAAGAAAGAACACACTAAAAAAGTCCCAAGAAGCATGTAAAAATGTTCAATCAACTATTTAATTTTAAGCTTGTAATTATTTATACTGCAGATTTTATAGGTGTAAGAATAAAATGATTTGGCCTCAGTGTCATTTGTTCCCCCACGTTGGCCATCGCTACGCCTTCCTCTAATCACGCCAGTCATTTTTCCTAAATACCATTTTTTTCTGATCACCCAAATTTTCTAAAAGCTATAGATAGTATTTTCCAAATATCACTAATACATTTTAAACATTGACAACGAAAGCCACAACTAAACATATATGAAAATCGTTTCAATTAATACCTTTTAGATCCATAGTACAGTCATTCCAGTTGAAAATGAACAACTAAAACAAAATTTCTCTTAGTTTATGGCTATGATCAATCTCAAGCATCTTGTCCTAGAAAGGTATTGTTACATATCTCAGAAGAACTTCCTTCCTGGTCTCAAAGGTATTATTTGTTAAGAAAATAATATCAGGTTACATACAACTTGGCTGTATTTTCATTTCCAAAGATGAGCTACCTTGGGTTAAGGGAGGTAGCCGCACCTTGTTAAAGTGGAGCTGGCTGAGCCAGGAGTAGCTCCCTGCCTGTCAAGTGGGCTTAGCTCCAAGCAACACGTGGTTGGATACGGTGGCGAGGGTTCCTTGGCAGCATTCACTGTAATTACAAGACTGTGAAGAAAGACTCAAGAAAATAACCATAAAAGGTGTAGCTGGCTCTAAAGCCAAACTTCAGCAGCCAAGAACAACTGGGCTTTCGTGTTCTCAAGTTCAGAGGGGAGAATCAAACTTTTCTTTCAGCAGAGGTCAGAGGGAGCAGACAAACACACTGAACATCTCCCAGCTTCTTCTCAGAGCTGCTCGGGGTGCTCAGCCTGAGCGTGTGGCTCTTACATAGAAGAGCAGCAAGGGCCCAAGAGTGGACTCAAGGTCCTATGAATTCCATGACCAGTGAGAGGTCCTACACTACTGTAGACCTTGGAAACCTTACACTCCTTTCTCTGCCTGCCATTTAGAATCGCCCTCATTTGAGTTCTCAGTAACTAAGTCAGTTTTGTGAAATGGCCCCGTGCTTCAAATAGATGCTTTGGGAAACGTGGCATTGCCAGGTCAGGAGGATATGAAGGCATTCATAGATACATTGCCCATGGTCAGAAACATTCATTACGAGAAGATTTTAGTTTCTCCTTTTTCAGAATAAAGCCAGATTGTGTCACAATGCCTTGCCCATATGTGTGTAACCTTTTCAAATACTAGGCAAATGGACAGATTAAAGCTAGTCCTTTGCTTGGGAACTCTGTGCCTCCAGATACAGAAGCAGCCTTGTTTACCCAAGTGAAATGCCATTCATATGATCACAGTGTGTAGTGGCAAAGGGGCCTGCCATCAAGCCTTCAGTATTCAAACAAATGAGAACAGTAAATTCCAAATTGAGTTTTTTTTTTTTTTTTATTAGAGTCAAAGAAGGAAGGTTTTCTTCTGGAGGGAGAAAATGGTTTTGTAATGGAAAATAACCCAACAACCCTTGCTAGGGAGACAACATTCCCAGGAAGAATGTAGCAAAGGTGGTACCACGCTGAAAACAGAAGGTTAGGAAATAGGGGGGTCTTACGTTTATTATGACAAGTTTAGTAAAATCATTATGTCCACAGTGTGTCTTGCTAAGTTTAGTGATCCTCTGAGATGTGCTCACAAATCAAGAATTCTCACTTGCAATACCCCACAGAAGTGACCAAGAAAGTGGGATTGGGCATAAAATAATTAATTCTTGGAAAAAAAAAGATTCCCACAACTTCTATAAACCACACACCACGCTCGACATGTAAATTTAATGAATCAGTGACCCATAGATTTGTGCAAATATTGTCTTTTGAAAGATAATATATTTTTTAAATCAGATATAGGGTACTCATTTAAGAAGCATTATTAAACTGAAGGATAAAATAATGGTTTTTTTTCTATTTATGACAAAAAAAGAAGCAATAGTGATTTTACTAAGGACAAGGCAGGGATAATATAGCTGCAGTGGTGTACGTCCCAGGTGGAAATGGCTGTCCTATAGCTTCAACTCACTGGGAAAGTATCTTAAAATCTGCACTTAACATCTCTTAGACACTTTATGGGACACTCATACTGTGCCATTCTTCCTGGTCAACAGATGCGATGCTTCTTTATACTCAGAATGGTAACCGCAGTTATATGTTCATTTTTATAAAACGTCTCTCTTTGTAACGTGAAGCTCTTTCCCCTTACTTGCCCAGATCTCCACACCATGATTCACTTCCCAGTTAGGACTTTAGAGACTTCTAGAAGACCTACTACCTCTTCAATCTCCTTTGAGGAGGCAGCATGCCTGAGGAGCATGCCTGAGCACACTGGTTCTGTCTGTACACCCTCGGTTTCCCTGTGTGTTTTCCTCCAAACATTTCTCCGCATCATACATTTTTGTAAATCACTGATTTTATAAAACTATGAAAATCACATTCGATGAGACACACCCAGGTTGACCTGCAGGAAAAATATTTACATCTTAATAAATGGAAGATGAGGAAAAGGATGAGTGGTCTTGCACTAACTTCATGCTTACCGTTCTCTAGTACATTTTAGAGGGGAAGGCACCTCAGGAGCACTGCGCTCCACTAAGACTGCGGTGAGCACTGCTGTCCTTTAGAAGGAAGGGACAGCAGAGGGCATCCAGCCCAGAGGGGAGTAGAGCAAGATAGCAGCTCCGACAGAGCAGCAGCCTTCCATGTACACAGGGCTTCGGTGTTTGCCTTAGTTCCCACCACGTGCGATTTTTTTTTTGTTTTTGTTTTTTTTTATTTTTATTTTTTTTTTATTTTTCTGGAAGGCAAAAGGAAGAAGCTACAGGTGCTTTCTAAGTCTGTAGTCAAATCTAAGTCTCCGAAGAACAACTATGGTTTTGGAGGCAGGCTACATGCCAAACTTGTAAAACATGTATCTTTGACAAAAAGACCCTCTCTGACCAATCTCTTACATGGTGTCATCATTATTATTACATTAGGTGTCACCTGCTTTAATTATTTTTCTCTTATTGTGATAAATATCCTGACAAAAAGTCCCTTAGCAGAGGAAAGGATTTATTTTTAACTTGCAGTTCCAGAAAGGGACAGTCCATCATGGCTCTGAAAGTCTTCAATGGGACCATAAGACCAGCCTGTCAGTAAGCAGAGTAGTTACTTTCCACCCACACATGAGAGAGAAAGACAGAGAGGGAGAGAGACAGACAGACAGACAGAGAGACCGAGAGACAGAGACAGACAGAAACTAGAAATTGAGATCAAGCTACAAAACATCAATGCCCAGCCCAATGATGTACTTCCTCAAGCTAGGCTCTACTTCCTAAAGGTCCCATAACTTCCCAAACGTTACCTGAGAACCGAGTATTCATATATATGAACATATGGGAAACCTTTCTTCTTCAAACCACAGTGCATGCTATTGTCTGTGCATGCACTGAGACAAAAAATGGAAAATGAAAAACTAACCAAAAATGAAAGGCATCCTTTACACCTGGTGCCTTTTGAATTCTTATAGTTATTAAACACACCAAGATCCTTTTGGTCAAAACAAAATATATTTAATTAGTAAGGGGTGAATTTGAATTTGCTTAGATTGTAAGAATGCTTCAGACGGGATGCCAGAGAAGCTCAAAGGATGTCTGATGATGATCAAGGGACAGCACGTCATATAAAATCTGCCTGTCTGTATATGCATATATATGTGTGTGTGTGTGTACTGTATGTATATATTAGCTATTGTCATGTATCTATTATCCAAAATTCTGCATATCTATCTCCCTGTCTTCCTGTGTATTTACCTATCTATCACCATGCTTGAATCAGTAGTTTGAAGGCAGCTAAAATCATTAATGATAAATAATTGAAATACTGAATTAAGAGAGTTTGAAGAGCTGAATTCTTCAAGTTACAACAACACATGAAATTTTGTTCTCCTGTGACAGGGTGCCCAGAAGACACTTATGGTCCAAACTGCCAAGAGACGTGTAAGTGCCAGAATGGGGGTCAATGTGAAAGCACACTCGGCTCCTGTACCTGTCCTCCTGGCTTCGTTGGAGCAGACTGCAGTCAAAGTAAGCGATTTGCACCTGGTCTTTCAGTTGGCGTCCTTGTGTAGTTTACGTTGGTTTTGAACTTGTGGCTATCACACTGCCCCACCCTGTACTTATAGGAAAGATAGGATAGCTATTCCAGCGTCCAAAGGGTGCAGCAAAATACTAAAGCATAGTTATTAAGACTGCAATTATGAGAGTGAACGGTGGCGTAATACTTGGGGATTTATTATAGGGACGGCAAATACAGGCTGATCTAAATCCTAGGTTGAGGACTAATAACATCAGATTTGGGTTCAGAATTGAAGTCATCATAAGTACCAAAATAAATATTTTTGCAATAAACCTTTCTACCCAAAAACACTGTACTCAAGCCAGGACTCAAAAAACATGTTAGGCAAGGTCAGCATAAGAATTTTTGTGTTCACATTGTCAATCTTGCCCAAAATTCCAGAATTTTAACTATACTCAGCAAGTTTATGTCTCAACAATAAATAGTTTCTCTATTCATCAAAAGGGAAATAGTGCCGTAAGCACAAATACCTTAATTGTTCTTATCAGTATCAAGTGTAAGGGACAGAGAGTTGAAGATACCTTTAAAATGCACATGCTTGGAGCCTGTGAGTTTGTGCCTGGAAAACGTGTCTCTTCTGTCGTCAGACCCACCAGTTCTAAGTAACTGGGTGGTTTCTACTTCCACCAAATAACTACCTGAACACATGCCCTCTGATGTCTCTGGCCCAGGTGGTGACAATTATGTCACCCTTGTGTCTGAACTCTGGATCACTAATGATCGTTTCAGAAGATTCAGGAGGTAGTGAGAACAAACTGAAAGAGAGAGAGAGGTTGGAAGCAGGGCTAAAATATCTAGTTTTAGACAAAGGACTTGAGATTGGGTTATTCACTTTTGGGTCAGTCATTAAAATCATATTATCGCCAGTGATTATTAACTTCACAATTAAAAGAGAGAAGTAGCTTTAGTATGGATTTAAATTAAAAGTAGATGAACTGCAATACCTTTAATTCTCATTCATGTGTGTGCATGCATGTGTGTGCACTTTCACATGTACATATATACATACAAATACACATATATACACATGCACACATGAACATACACACATAGATATGTATATACACACATACCACACACATGCATACACACATGAAAGCATTCACACATACACAGATACCCAAATATACATACATACAGAACACCATACACATACATGCATACACACATGCATACACAAATAGAAACACATATTCACTCATACACATATGCATATACACATATACATATACACATACAAACATATACAGGTACAAATAGACATGTGCACATATATACACATATACGCATATACCATACATAGACAGACACAGATATTCTTTCATGTATGTGCACACACACACACATACACACTTAGAGACATGCATGCAAACATGCCCTTCATTTAAGGTCTTGCAGGAAGAGGAGTAGCGAAGTTTCTGTTAATTCAGGCCATTAAGCTGGTGTAAGCTGAAGATGCTTTCCTTGCCTGTGCTTCCCAGGCAGGTGGCTGCTGCCTCTGACTTACATAAACACAATGTCCTCTGTTAATTGTCCTGTGACAGCAGCCCTCAGTACCGATCATAAAAACTTACTAGGACAAAGTATCAGATCCAAAGAACTGATGATTGACACCTACTGGATAGTGCCTGTGTTCCCAACTGCCAAGTGATCTTTGAGGGAAAGCCATCCCATAAACACGTCCTGAGGAAGGTTCTGGCTGGCTCCTTTATGTTCATTCTTCAAAGAGAGTAACTGGGAGAAATGTCCCCATGCAAGAGCATGTTCAAAGGCTATGGTTCCTGAACACTGGGAACACGTTGTCTTAAGAAAGCTGTGATCTTGTAGGAGCCATTTTCCTTGCCTTGACAGACTGGTAGGTTAGAGCCAAGTATGCAGCCTGCCTCTGGCAAGGCCAAGTGTTTTAATTGTTTATCTTCACACTGTTACCACGTAGCCATCTCAGCTGGTTCTTACAGATGTTCCTTTTATCTTTGTGTGTTATCTATTTTCAGCATTCATCTCAATTCATTTTTTTTGGAACAATACAAAATAGATCAGTAAGTCCAAAGACATAGATAAATATTTGAAAATATGAGTATTGTGGATCTTAGGTTGAGGTTAGGAGTATAAAGTAAGATTCCAGAAAGGACTCAAGAGAAAAAAATATTCAATATTGCAAAAACCTTATGTGTGTACTGAAAGTACAACTACACACATATATACACACATATACACATGCACACATAACAATACCATACAAATGCATATATAAACATACATACTCATACACAGGCACAGAAATACACATATATACATACTCACATTCTCTTTCACACACACACACACACTCAGAGCGTGTGTGTGTGTGTGTGTGTGTTTGTGATGTGGGTGTGGGCATGTACTCAAACATGTACCTGTATTTAAAGTAAGACTGGAAGCTGTTTTCTTTGTTTTGTTTTGTGTTTTAATAATTTATTTTTATTTTATGTGCATTGATGCTTTGCCTGCATCTATATCCATGTGGGGGTGTCAGATCCTCTGGAACTGGAGTTACAGACAGTTGTGAGCTGCCATGTGGATACCGGGAATTGAACTCAGATCCTCTGGAAGAGCAGACAGTGCTCTTAACCACTGAACCATCTCTCCAGCCCAGAAGCTGTTGCTTTTAATTTGCAAATGAAATCTATCAGATATGAGTTTTGAAACCAGATGCAGGCTTATGTATTCCATGTTCCAGCCGAAACTCTTCTAAGAAAGCAACAGCTTGGGGCTTCCTACTTGTTTTTTTTTTTTTTATTTTAAAGTAGCCTTTTAGATTGAAAATTAAACTGTAGGGAAGTCAGCAAGATACTGGATTAGGAGAAAGGACCATATATTGACAAGTGTCTAAAAGTCTTGAGTGGCAGATGTCCAATAAGCAAAATAAACTTTATATGTCTTTATTTTGATCTTCCATCCAGCTTGTCCTGAAGGTCATTATGGACAGGATTGTGTCCAACGGTGTTTCTGTGGCTCAGGAAAGTGTGACCCAGTGACAGGAAGGTGTCATTGTCCACCCGGCCTGATGGGATCCAGGTGTCGGCAAAGTAAGAAAGGCTGCTGAATTGCCATTTTTACTATGTTGATCCTCCCAATCCAAGAGCAAGGGAGATCCTTCCATTTTCTGGTATCCTCTTCAATTTCTTTCTTCAATGCTTTAAAGTTCTTGTCAAATAGATCTTTCACTTCCTTGGTTAGAGTTACCCCAAGATATTTTATGCTGTTTGTAGCTATTGTGAAAGGTGAAGCTTCTCTGATTTCCCTCTCTGCTTCCATATCCTTTGTGTATAAGAGGGCGACTGATTTTTTGGAGTTGATCTTGTATCCTGCCACATTACTAAAGGTGTTTAACAGCTGTAAAAGTTCTTTGGTGGAGTTTTGGGGGTCACTTATGTACACTATCATATCATCTGCAAATAACGAAAGTTTAACTTTTTCCTCTCCAATTCGAACCCCTTGATCCCTTTATGTTGTCTTATTGCTAGAACTTCAAGCACTATATTGAAGAGGTATAGCGAGAGTGGGCTGATGAGAAGCCAAGGACAATGGCACGGGGTTTTGATCCCACTTCATGTTCTGGCTTGGTGGGAGCCTAGCCAGTTTGGACGTTCACCTTCCTAGACATGGACGGAGGGGGAAGGACCTTGGACTTTCCACAGGGCAGGGAACCCTGACTGCTCTTTGGACTGGAGAGGGAGGGGGAGACGAGTGGGGGCAGGGGGAGAGGAGTGGGGGGAGGGGAAAAAGGGTGGGAGGAGGGGGAGGGAAATGGGAGGCTGGGAGGAGGTGGAAACTTTTTTTTCCTTTTCTCAATAAAAAAAAAAAAAAGAAAGGCTGCTGAAGATTCACCTCAACAGTCCAAGCAATAAACACGCTGAAGTAGGACAGCATGGCTGTTGCTCCACCATGGCATGGTTTGCCATGCTTTCTTTAAAACAAGGCTTTAATCACATGGCAGCATGTTTGTCTGTCGCACTGCTGAGGCAACAGCCTCTTAGAAGGCTACAGAAATTGATATGAGGGGTCTGAGAGATGGCTACGGGGTTAAGAGCACTGACTGTTCTTCCAGAGATCCTGAGTTCGATTCCCAGTAACCACGTGGTGGCTCACAACCATCTGTAATGAGGTCTGGTGCCCTCTTCTGGCCTTCAGGGATACATGTAGGCAGATGCTGTATACATAATTAATAGATAAGCCTTTACAAAAAAGAAATTGATATGAAACTGATTTATGGATACTCTGGGTTAGGAGGAGCAATTTAGGCAACAGGGACCACTCTTGGAAAACTTTCTAAAGCTTGCTAGAGGACTTAAATTACAAGGCGAAAGAATTCGACATGCTCCAACCTACAGAGGCCCGCTGTAAGAAAAACAGGAGACAAACATGCAAATACAGTCTGTGTTGAAAACAACAGCCTTGCTTCTCTGGAGTCTTAACATTGATTATTACCATAATTAAAATTTTAATCACAGAAGAACTATCAGATCTTCAGGGCAAGGAGTTATAGTGAGAGCGCTGGCTGTGGCTCTCCACTGCGACCTCTGAGCTAGCAATCTCTCTTGCTGTTCACAGAGAAAGAAAACGGTTATTATGTGTGGGTCAGGGATGTGTACGAGGCAGACTGTGGGAACAAACTTAATCTTCCTGGGCATCATATGCTACAGAAAAAACATGAAATAAACAAATATAGGATACGTGCAGCTTGGCACAGACCGGAACAAGCTGGAATCTATACATGATGGCTAAACAGTCACAAACATATGCATATGTATACACAAATACACATAAAGACACACATACATAGTGTGAACACATACACATATGCAGGCATGGGAGCACAAGTAACATAGAAACACACAGACAACACAAATACCGTACACTTGTACATACTTACACAGATACATATGTACACATGCATTTCCCACAACTTGTACACATGAGTTTCATTCTAGACCAAGAAAACTTCCAGATTGTTGGTACTAGTTTTTCAGCCCTGAAGCCACACTAGCCCTAAACAAAATAGCTGGTGAAGAACTATAGAAATAATCCCCGAAAGATTTCCTGAGTAAATTGGGAGCATGGAGGTCACGGGAGAGGGTAGAGGAGGAGAGGGGAGGAAGGGAAGGGAGCAGAGAAAACTATAGCTCAATAAAAACAATTTTAAAAAACTAGCCAGCACAGTATTACAGTATTTTTTATTTAAGAAAGAGACACACTGGGATGGGGGGTCTGGAAAGAGTTGTAGGATAAGTATAATATTTTATTAAAAAGATTAAGTAATTTCTTATTAATAAAATTTAAATATTCCCCCAGAAAAAACAGCTGGTGCTAAAGTTAGCTGATGAATACATCCCCCACTTTAGAAACAACAACAACAATAACAATAACGAAAACAAAGTAGTTGCAGTTCTGCTTGCTTTTTAGTGTTGATTCTGCGGGAAGGACAAAGATGAACCCAAAAGGCAAAACACACGAAACTAGACCATGAAGGTTTTACTTTAGACCACAGGAAAGTATTAGCCAGAATTTCTCCCAGCATTCCAAGGGCCTGATGAAAGAGTGTTTCCTACAAAATGTGGTGCTAAGGCAGAGATGCAAGGGTTTGTAGAATAAATAACGGAGCAGCACAAGAGAATGAACGGTAAACTGAGGAGCTCAGCAAACAATGAAAATGAAACTTAGACCTGCCATCATGCAAATGAAGGCCACATTAACAGCAGGGCCAGGGAGGGCAGAGGAGCTCATCTGAGCCTGCCTGTGATGAAAGGAAGGGGAATGGGAGAGCAGTGTGGAAATAATGGAGGGAGATGTGGGAAAAATGGGAACGAGAAAAATGTGCAAATATATGACTCAGAAATGAAAGAAGTTTGACTAAAACCTCCTGTCCTCGGAATTCTGCTGAGGAGAAGAGGGAAGTCTGAAGCCACTGTGAGGATGCCTGTATGGAGTTTTGTGCCTCACAGCAGAACTCAATGCTAGCACATGATCAATCAATGTGTATTTATATCTTGGGGGAAAAAATGTGATCGAGTATTCTATTCACAGTTAAGCTGTTTTTCAAATATAGCATCGTGGTAAATCAGCAGCTATTTTTTGAAATAAAATGTTCCTGGAAAAAAATGATATTTTTAAATTTCTTAAGGGACAGCTAAAAGATAAATCCAAGAAACAAAATAAATAATGAAAAATATAAAAAATATAGTAACGGGACAATTAATAACATTAAATTCAGTTTAGTTTGTGCCAAGTTTAAAACAACACAGCCCTCATGGTGATGCAGAGAGATGTTAGAAATTATGACAATATGGAGATTTCATCAAACATTGATGATCCATAAATTGAAAGAACAAAGTGAAAGAAGGCAAGTCTGCTGGCCGTCCTTCATGGAAGCTTACAGGGTAGACGGCACCAAACTCTGTTAGCATATGTGGTGGACAGCTCAAATATTTTAAGGGTTTCATCGAAAACTCCAGAATTTTGACCATTGTAACTGGAAATATAAGACATTTTTGTTTTGGTTTTGGCTTTTGATTTTTTTGTTTTTATTTGTTTGTCAAGACAGGCTTTCTCTGTGTAACCCTGGCTGTCCTAAAACTCACTCTAGACCAGGCTGGCCTCAAACTCAGAGATCCACCTGCCTCTGCCTCCTGAGTGCTGGGATTGAAGGTGTGCGCTACTATTGCCTAGCTAAGGCTAAGTTTTATCCAACTACAATTGGGAGAAAAGAAAAATAAAATGATCTTGATTACATAACCATCAATACTGGCAAGCCAGCATAATAAAGACATTGCCATGTTATTTAACAACACATCCCTTTCTAAACAGTCCCCAGACTATAGGACTCTATTTCACAGTGATGATACACGCTCACTTCTCTGTAAGGTACAGAAAAAGAAATTATGCGAAACATGACTCATAAGTGAATCTAAAATCATGAGTTTCACGGAAGTAGAAAATACAGTAATTACCGGGGCCTGGGGTGGTTGTAGCTAGAATGGAAGAAGAAGGGGTTCATATTAGTCACAGGGCACAAGCTTACAGGTAGGTGTAAGGACTAATTCTTAGAGGTCCCTTACATGGTAGTAAATACACTGATTGATGATAGACACCATTTTTGAGCAACATAAAGAGAGTGCTATGGCCAAAATGAGGCAACTAGGGCAGGATTCATTTACATACTTCAATCATGGTTTACACAGTATGTGACGATTTAAATGACAATTGTCTCCTATAGGCTCTAGAGTTTAGAGACACCTAGTCCTCAGTAGGCGACATTGTTAGGGGGTGGTTTAGAAAGACTGGTCTTATTGAGAAGGATGTCACTGAAGGTAGGCTTTGGGAACTTAAAGTCTTGCTGATGTGCCTCTGTTGCCTTCAGCTGAACTCATCCCTCTGAAACTGTCGGCCAAAATAAACCCTTTTTCCATAGGCTGCTTTTGATTATGATGTTTGATCATAGCAATAGAAAGCTACACAATAAAAAATTTGTAATTGTAAATTGTACCTATTAATTTAAGTATATAGAGAGGATGATAGATGAATATAGATAGATAGATAGATAGATAGATAGATAGATAGATAGATAGATAGACAGACAGACAGATGCTTTAGACTTACTTTGAGCCCTTGAATCAATGTAAAATATTCAAGCATGGTGACACATGTGTAATCTCAGTAGAGAAATATGCAGGGATCCCTAGAGATGCTGGCCAATCATTCCACCCTAACCTCGACCATCAGGACAAAAAGAAACCCTATCCTTAAGAGACACATCGTGGTCCTACTGTAGACAGGGTTTGTGTTGATAATGCGGCCCACACTGACCTCCAAAGGTCATTAGGATGTCCACCGTCTGTGCTGTGGTCTGAGGCCATGGTGACATCAAGGCTGTGCTGCCATTGAGAGCCATGTCTGGATCCTAGATCCATAGTTCTGCTGCAGCTGGGAGCCTTGTCCATGGTCTGTGCTTTCCCCAGAAACCACGTAGAAGCCCAAGATCCATGTTCCTGACAACTGTAAGAAGCAAGGAAACTACCTTTGCAGAAATATCGGCCTACAGACAAACAGTTGGAGACAGGGACGTTAATAGCATATGTGACTCTCCCTCTACACCCCTCCCAAAGTGCAAACTAGAAGTAACAGCCTGGGTGGGAAACCTTCAAAAGAACTCTTGAAAAGTTGGGATGGGATGCTGAAGCTTAGCACTCTATGGTTGATGGCTTCTGGTGGGGACTTTTTTATTTTGTGCTAGGAGGGGAGTTATGGGTCCATGTGGGTGTGGGCTTGGAAAGACTGGGAGGTAAGTGTGATCAGGGTGTATGATGTGAGCTGCTCAGGGAATCAATAAAAGTGTTTGGTTGAAAAGGGGGATGAGATTGGGGGGATGGCTCCTGAGGGTCAATACTTGGGTTGACCTCTGTTCCCCCCCCACACATGCATAGAAGTACACATGTCGATTGCGTTGGGTGGTTACTCAGTCTAGGGGTTTGTAACCCACCCTGCAATCAGTTATTCCAGGGTCACGGAGGGGCGCTACCTGGAAGGGAATGAGCTAAGACAGAAGAAGGACGCCAAGCAGATTTGTCAAAGCCTCCGTTTATTAGGGTCATGGTTGCTGCTTATATATGGTAAGGAATGGGGGCAGGGCAAGGGATCTCGCCCGCGTGGTTCAGGTCACGTAGGCCAGGTTACTTTCGGACGGGTAGGCTAAGAAGTCACAAGTTGCCACACCTGGTTCCCTGGATAGCTGGAATGTGAGGCGGGTTCCTCTAACAGATAAGTTAATTGGGTGAGGGGTTCTCTGCAGACCCCCTAGGGTGATGGTTCCTGTAATTTTAGGGGGGAAATGGCTCCTGACATACACAAGAACAACAGCACATAAGTGAATACCACACACTGTTATCTGAACAACAAAATGAAAACCTTCCTTATAATATTAAATTTTTTATTCATTTTGCATACCCACAGATTCTCGCTCCTGCCCAACTTCCCCGCAACCTGCCCCATTAAAAAAAAAAAAAAAAAAAAAAACCTTCCATTATTTGACCAGCAACAACTGGTCCTTTATCAGATCTACACAGGCAAGTGCCTCCACCGGATTCAGCCATACATTCTGCCTTACCTTAGCTGAAATCTCATGCACATTGGGCTCTTTGTGTTTGTTTGCTTTTCTCCTTTTAAATACACCTACATTTTTTATGCTAGCTGGAAAAAAAAACAAACAATAAGAAAAAGATATTCCAATATCTTTCCTGCTATTGAAACTGAAAGTAGGCTTAGTTAGCGGTTTCAAACTTGAGTCTTGACTTCTGGCCTTATTGGTTGTCTAAGTCTGCACAAGGTTTTAGTCTCCAAGCTTCAGTTTTTCCAAGAGAAAATTAGGAACACTGTTACCCACATCACAGGGGTGTTTGGGGGCATTAAATGAGATAATCCACGTGTGAACTATCATTATGTAGAAACTCCATAAACTGGAGGTTATAAATGGTAGGCTCTTGGCCAAATTTAGCCACAAATGTGTTTGCATTGGCTTCAGAATATGCCTTCCATGCAGTTATAAAATGATTTTAATTAGTTGCCAACTCTCAAAGATTGGAGAATTTCATGTAATATATGGATAGTGAGTTTTCCTTAAAAGGTTGTATTAGATGGCAGTGTGGGGCCATATTTTTATGGCAAAACTAAGCTAATATGGGAATCATCCTCATCTTACAGGGGCAGCCATTTCACATTGGTGGTGCTTCCTGATGTTACCCTGGCATGGATAGGAGGGCCCTTCGGCCCACTTCTCTTCACTCATTGGTGTCTTAGCTTCTGTTGGCAGTATGTTTGGGTACTACCCTCCTAGGCTGAACAGTGAAGCACCAGAATATTAAAGAAAGAACTGCTCCTCTTTCATCGATTTTGGGCCATTGTATAAACTATTCCCCACCATTGGTTGCTTCCTCTATGACTATGATAGAATATTCTGACAAAAGCAACTTAAAGGAGAAGCACTTACTTTGGCCCTCAGTTCTGGGAGACAGTCCTACCTGGAGGGAAAAGCCACGGCAGCAGGGGTTTCATGGAGCTGGTCACAGTGCTCTGCGGTCAAGGGCAGAGAACAGTGGATGCTGCTCTTCAGGTTGCTTGCTTCCCATGCAACCCAGGATCCAAACCAATAGAATTATGGCTTCCTAATCAATTAGCCTAATCAAGCGAGTTACCAGCACATACAGAGGCCAACCTAAACTAAATAATCCCTCAGGTATGCCTACTGCTTTTTTGATCGCCCTGAAGTCAACAGTAACCATCCCACCTCCTGACCCAAATCCCTGCTGACTGTTCCACAGGCAAGCCCTAGGTGCCAGTGTCCTAGGCACACAGGACCAGCCCTATGCTTACGGGGTGACTGTGAACTGAGTGAGCCTATGGCGGTGCTGTGCTTGTGACATCCAGGGGGCTCTTTTCGTCTGAAGATTTTCTGCTACATTTGCTGTCTTTGGGTGGAAGCTGTCTCAAAGGAGAAAAAAAATTGTTGGCTCATGACATATTCATTTGACGTAATACTTAAAAATATTTTCCTTTAGGTTGTCCCCAGACTAAATATGGCACCAACTGTGAGCTCAAATGTATGTGTAGAAATGGTGGACTCTGCGATCCTGAGGATGGAAGCTGCACCTGCGGCCTGGGGTGGACCGGGGAGCACTGTGAGAAAGGCAAGCTGATTCTTTCTTAGCCTCACCAAGTCCATTTTAGGGCTCACCCTTATGGGGTGCTGAGTAGAGACCTATGAAGCAGCTACTTTCCAATAACCTATTTATAATTATGATCATATTTTTCATAAAACTGTGTAAATATTGATCACTAGTCATTACCTATTTCTAGACAATCGCAGGAAAACTCTGAAACATCTTAAATGGAAATAGTATTGATGGGAGCAAAATTCCCCTGAGACCTCAATTCTACTTTTTATCCTAAAGCCCAAAGCCACTGTGGACATTGCATTGGCTGCCCCCCCCCAAGGTTTTAAGCAGGGGACAGAAGAGAACCACACTCGTGGAGGACTTGACAAATGGTTAGAAGATACGGGCCTCTGGGAAAGAAGTGGGTGTGTGTCCCGGGGACGGTGGCTCCTGTCCTTAATCTCAGCACTGTGAAGACTGAAGGGAGCTGGATTCCAAGTACAGTCTTGGCTGTGTAGCAAAACATGAAATATGAATGGCTCCCCCCATTACTGTTCTGCATTCTAGGTTTTTTGTTGTTGTTCTTACTTATTTGTTCTTCCAAATTAATGTTATAATCATTCATCTAGGAAAAATGTTTTGGTTGTTCCATTGTACTGTGTGTTTTCAGAAAAAAAAACCAATGCATTCTAAGGTTAACTCATGTAACATGAAGGGGCCTGCTAGTTGTTGGGGTTTTCTGTCCTGCCTGGTAACCCCCACACACACACTTGTTTAGCCCCAAAGAAAATTACACATAGGTCTCCATAAATTATAAGCTGGTTGGCCCATTAGCTCTATCCTCTTACTGGCTAACTCTCACATCTTGATTAACCCATTTTTCTGATCTATGTTAGCCATTTGGCTCAGTACCTTTTTTCAGTGGGGCAGATGATATCCTGCTGCTTCGGTGGTCTGGGGAAGAGTGGGAGGAATCAGTTTCCTCCTTCCCAGAATTCTCCTGTTCTCATTACATCATTTCTACTTCCTGTCTGGTTTCCCACCTATACTTTTTGCCCGGCCAATCAGCGTTTATTTAAAACATGATTGACAGAATACAGACAATTCTCCCACACCAAACTCATTGTATTCAAGAACAAATAATCCATCCTTTATCCCACTTTTTATATTCCTTATCAATAAAGACCCTGACCTTAGAATTCACATTAAGATATCCAAGCTAACAAGCAAATAATTAATTTTCTAATATATGAAATACCCAACTATATTTTAGTGAATTTCTCGCAAGGTCTTTTCTTCATCTATGTAATTTATTATATGAGTTCTCTTTAGCCTCATAGCATGTGACATGATATTATGAATCTCTAATAGTGAGTGGCCTTATATTCCAAGAATAAATACTGTGTGATGAGGATTAACTATTTCATAAAGTGCTACTGGACTCTATATACGTATATATTCTATGATTTTGGCATTGATATCCAAGAGGAAAATGGAGCTGTTTTATATGCAACCTTTTCCAGTTTGTAAAACTGATGTTCCACACATTCAGTGAAAAGCATTTGGAAATTTCCTTCCTCTTTCAACGTTCTGAAATATTCTAAGTCGAGATGGTGCCCTGTCTAGTGAACGCTTGTGGATGGCGTCCTGCCTACTAAACAGTTATAGAATCCCCGTGAATCTGGAGAGCACTTTCTTTCTCTCTCTCTTTCACTCTTATTCAATGTAAGAACTGTTACTATAATTTCTTATCTAGGTTTTCTGCCTCAAATTAGGATGGTTTGGGTAAGTCTTTCCCTATAGCATTATCCATTTCATTTAATTTTGGAATTTTATTTATATTATGATTTTCATATTTGCAAACTGGATTGTCATTTTCTTCATCTTTAAAAAATGTGTGTGTCTATGTCTGCATGTGTGCACAGGGGTGTTTTGCCTGAGTGTGTGTCTGCGTACTGGAGGGAAGAAGAGGGGATTGGATATACTATAACAGGAGGTACACACGGCCCATGACGGTGATGTGCTGTGTGATGCTGGGATCTACACCTAAGTCTTCTGTAAAAGCAGCCAGTGTTGCTAACCACTGAGCAACCTCTCTTTCCCCTTCCTTCACCTTTTAAACAATGTAAGGTGCTGTGCTTTGCTTGTTTCCGGGTTGCTGGGTTGGAACCCAGCCCCATATGCGTGCTAGACACACCCTCTACCGCAGTGGTCCTCAACCTCCCCAAAGCTGTGACACTTTAATACAGTTCCTCATGTTATGGTGACCCCATCCATAATTTTTTTGATATTTCATAACTGCAATGTTGCTACTGTTCTGAATTGTAATGTAAATGTCTGATATGCAGTGTATCTGACGTTGGGAGGTCAAGACCCAGGGGTTGAGAATTACTGTTTACCGCATACCCAGCCTGTGAGTTCTCCATTTTAATTTGATTAGTTGGTGGTTTATCTGTACTCACATATTCATTAATGACAGTATTTTCCATCTTTGAACTTATCAATTTTTAACTGTCTTTTGACAAATCCTAATATTTTGATGTTTTCTTCCTCAGCATGTTCTCCTGGTAACTATGGGCCAGACTGCAAATTCAATTGCTCATGTCAGAATGGTGGTGTCTGCAGCAAGCTGTCTGGGGCCTGTGAGTGCCCCAAAGGGTTCTATGGACGAGGCTGTGAACACGGTAAACAGCAGAGGCTACTCTATGTTCTCTGTGTGGAGGGTCTAAGCTCCAAAATGATTTTAAATCATAGAGATAATATATTCATATTATATCAAATTACACAAACTTTCAGTGTATGTTACTGTAAGCTCAGTAAGTTTCACAGCTCAAATTAAAATTTCAGACTTTAACAAGTACCATGAAGAAAAAAAATTGGACTTTAAAAGTCTTTAGGCTTTTCTGCCAATAATGGACTTAACAATCCACTGGAGAACAATCCATTATTACTTGGAGGTACTCTCTGCAGACAGACACCCCATGAACCAGCTGTGAGTTTGTCTAAGCAGGGATGCTCTTTACCCAGCTGCCTTTGGGGAATAATGGATGGAAGTCCTGCTTATATTCCATGTTACCTGTGACTCGCCTCTGAAAGACCTGACTCCACCTTGTCTTTCCAAATAGTTTCTAATATTGTTGCTATATCTGCACTCAATATTTGCAACTCAGATTGGAAAACAAGAAGCTCATGACTTGGCACCTGAGAGTCCTGATGGACAGTATCACTCAGCGGGCATAGGATTTGTCTTAGACAGCCAACTTGTGCTGCTGGCTTTATCATCTGCATAGTGAATTAATAAAGGTAACCATGAGGACCAAATAAGAAATCATGTTTAAGCACGGAGCATGGAGGTGGGTGGCCAAAAGCTTGGTGAATATTAGCTGCTTTCAAAGCAAAGGCTTTTCTGGACTGTCTGAAAGGCTGTTGACCATGGTCCTATTCTTTCAACCTCCGGAATAGGAGTGGGCATCACCCAGCATTTGGTGATTCAGACTCTTATAACTAATCTGATGTTTTAGGGCTAAGGATGAAAAATCAGACATTTTGTGAGTTTTGTTCATTTTGTTTCTTTACATTGTTTTTAAAATATAAATAAGAGAAAGAAAGAAAAATGGTATTGATTAGAACCCATTACATTTATGCTATAAGTTTATCAAAGAATGTTTTAGATTAAAGAAATACTTTAATTCTTGATGAAGGATTTAAAGAAATCCTTTCACTCAACAGTTACAATGAGATCAGTAAAGGGAACGTTCACATTAATTAATTCCTTTTGTATTTCCTGGTTTTCCTTTGCCCTGCTGGATGACTTTTCTAAATTGTCCTATGTTGTGCACACTGAAGAAGCATCATCCACATTGTAAAAAATAAAAATAAAAAATTTCACCCTTACATGCCTAAAAAGAAGATGGGCGAGAGGGATTGGGTGATTAGGGGAATAATGAGCAAAGGTCAAGTGAGTGGACCTTGTAAATAGACGAGTGACCACACCAGAGGAAACTCAAGGAAGGAAATGGGAGATTTTATCCATAGTCAAGAGCAGCTCCTGCTACTCCAAGGTGAGCATCTCTGTGGGAAGATAAGTTTGTCCTATAAGAAAATTTTGACTGGGGTTCACAGTTCCAGGAGATAAAACAAGTACTCCCTCAGAGGCCCAGGCACAAAGATATCAATCTTTTCCAAACCTGGAACTAAGATAGAATGCTTTGGATTTACTACGATAACTCTATTTTTCTGCTTAGGAGAGTATCCAAGGAAATTTTTCAAAGATTAAATCCCACAAACTATAAAACCTAACTTACTCATAAAATGCCAACCTACTGTTTATACAATGTGTTTTCTGTCTTCTTCTTCCTCTTTGCCCTTCTTCATCCCTTCCTGTTTCCTTCATGTTCATCTGCTGGGGGTCAGATCCCCAGATTTCAAATACAAAGGCTATGTATATTATTTTTCACACACAATGTTTTATTTCTTTAAGGAATTAATTCAATATTAGTGTCACTATATTTAACCTGAATCAGAGGTTTAGGGTTAGGTTTTAGATGCTTTAATTCCTCTTCTGTTTGTATGATAAAGTAATGAGCAGAGAAAGAGCTTGCCCTGGCTCATAGTCCCACAGAGATGCCATTTATCCCAACAAGGAGGATTTAGATGAGGAATCACGGAGCAGGGGACTGGCTGGTCATGTTGTATCTACACTCAGGAAGCAGAGAGTGAGCAGAAAGGGAGCCAGGCATGATGCCAGTGTCTCTCCAGTAGATTCCACCCCCTAAAGATTCCACAAATTTCCCAAACAGTACAACCAGTTAGTGAGCCTATGGTGCATTATGTGCGCGTATGGGGACATTTCACCTCTAAACAACAACGGGACGGTTGTAGTGCTCTTGGGGCAACTACAGTACAGCAAAGCAAACTGACATTATTGAGACATTTCAGATCTTCTCATGGTCTTTACCAGGTTTAGACATAATATCAACCCATTTTTTATGATTAATTTCTTGTGTGATTCCCCGTCCATCTAATTCTTCCCTTTTACACCATTTTTTAGGCTTGATAAACACATGAACTAGATTATATCCTTTAGTCTTTCCTTCCATTTTGTTTTTAAGCTAAAGATTACATTGTGACATTTCTGTCTTCTAGAATGCCCTCCTGGATTTCATGGTTTTAATTGTGCTCATACCTGTGACTGCCAGAATGGAGCCAGGTGTGATGTAGCAAGTGGACAGTGTGTTTGCCCAGCAGGGTTCCATGGTAACCATTGTGAGCAAGGTAGGGCAAGTGTGTTTTAAGGCACGTCTGTGAGAGGTCCCTGTGAGCATGAGGTCTTCTGATTTGTTCATGAACATGAAAGCCTGAGTCAAATCTGGTCACCCAAGCTTTCAATTCATAATTACACTATATAGAAGATATACAGCCACCAGTATAATCAGATTCCCCTTTTGTTCAAAATATTGTTCTCTCATGTAATATCACAAAATGAAAGCTGAAAGTCATTATAGGCAAGGATAGTACCTCTGAATAAGATTCAATATTTCATGTAATGCTTGGTAGAGCAATTCGACATACCTGCCTGGCTTTGTGGTGTTGAGACGGATCAGAGGAGTTGTGTAAATATTTAAAGATGAGAACTGAGCATTGATCACAAAGTAACCACAGTTATAAATGTGTATGAAATGTGAAATAATAAAGGCTAATCACCTTGAAAAAAATATCACAAAGTCTTAAAAGATTCTGTCAATTAAAATGTTTCCAGACACCTAAGAGTATCACTGTGGTCACATCAGATACGACTTCCGTATAAAGTTATGACAATGATGATGATGGTGATGATGATAAAGATGATAAATAATATTACAGGGATCATGGTAATTTAATTCTATATAGTGAATCAAAATTCCTGCCTATGAGCATTTCAAATAGTCCATCTATTTGTTCAAACAATTTTTTAAAACATCACCATAGCTTGATATCTATTATTGTTTGTTCATCTTTTATTCATTTAATATTTAGTAGTTCAATAAGATAGAAACTATTATCTGCATATTTCTGTGTTAAATTCTGGAAATACAAAGGGAAGTATGGAGCATACATCATTCTTTAAAGATGAACAATACATTATATGTCAATAGAAATAGTAAGAGTTGTACACATAGCCTGATTTCTTAAGATTTTCCAGAAAAGTTTACTTACATTCTAGAACACCATGAACCAGTGTCAAAGTAAAAAAGCTTTGAGAGCTGGTTGTTAAATCAGTCAGACAGTGGATCTTACCTCTGAGAATTCCCAACACGTCCTCTCCTGAACAGCAAAACCCCACTTGCTCTCCTTTGCCATCTACTATTGAATCTTATGAACATCTGTTTAATATGAATTTGTGTATTCTCTCAGAGGTTCAGCCACAAAGTGTTGATCCTTATCAAACCTGAAGGTAATACAGAGTATTCTGGACTTGCTAAGATAACTCCTTTTTCCACTTAGACGAGTATCTGAAGAAAATTTTGCATGTGGTAATTCGCGGGTTAATATTTCAGCATGTCTCTGTCCTCTGTAGAATGTCCACCTGGAACATTTGGGGACAATTGTCAACAGTCTTGTGACTGTGAAGGAGAAAGTCCTTGCCACCCAACCACAGGAAAATGCCTCTGCCCACCAGGGAAGGCAGGAACCAGATGTGACACAGGTATGACTAACAAACAGAAATCCAGAGGGACACAGGGATCCACAGACGCCTCGATCTGAAAATGACACTCTAGAAAAGAGAATTGCCCAGCAATGCTTCCTAATGACTTCAGTTTGAGCAGTCACCATTTGTAGCTGTCACGTCATAGGCCCTTCACACCAATGCCTTGCTTAACACAATTCCTTGCAGAGACACAACGAAGAGATGGTGATTCTAAAAACCCACTAGAACAAAAAGGAGACTATCTAGGTAACATTCTCGAGATCCAAGAACCCAGATTGTCTTTGGGAATTGATATTCATTCTTTGTTTTCCTTCCCACCCACAGAAAGAATGACCTAGAATGTAAGGTTATAGTAATTTAGCAACTGCCAAAAGAAGAGGGGAGAGTGGGTTGAGTCGATTGACGACAAATCTCCTGCAGTGTGACTTGATGGATGATTTTAGATCAAAAGGTTTTATATAATTCACCTCAGACCCAAGACACTGAGCCACCTCCGATAAGACCCCACATAGAATGTTTAATCTCCGAATTTACTTTGCTTATCTTCAAAAGAACCAGGCTAAGGTTACATATTGTTAAGGCCCATTCAGGCACTTGTCGGCTATGAGCTCGTGGCCTCTGTAATGGCGAGAGAGCCATGCTAGCCTTCCAGGCTTCAAAAGATTTCCATTCCCCCCGCATCACTTTACATCCCAGCTCTCTTCTGAGCAATATCAATAGCAGCTGCTTTCCTGGAGTGAAGGCAGCGTTCTAAAAGCATTGCCTTTGTTTAATGCATCCCACTACCCCAAGACATTGTCTATGTTTCTATTGCTATTGGATAAAATGGGACACTGAGGACCTAAGTTAGTAGACAATAGAGCGTGTGTGCGTGTGTGTGTGTGCGTGTGTGTGTGTGTGTGCGCGTGCATGTGCACACAGGCGCACACATGCTTAGAATAGATTCTGGCACATAGTAGATACCCCAACAAGCATTTGTTAAAAGAATTCTTGTTCTGTTGGAGACATGGTGGATGGAAGTTGCTGTACTCTGTCATATCTGAAATTATTCTGTCAGAACAAATATCTATGATACGTATGCCATCCACAGAAAAAGTCATGAAAATAGACACACCTATAGCATTTGTGGCCCCAGCCTCACATTGAGGGAGTGCCCATTGTGTGCTCTGCCTAGATTCCCTTACTGCCCTCACCCTTCTCATATGATAGAGCTGGAAGAAGACATCCCCAGGAAGTAATAAAGTTCAGCTATTTGTCTATGTTGCACAACAAGTCAATGGCAGATTTGAGATTTCAAGGAGGAAGTCTGGGTTCAGAGACAGAGAATGTTCCATACGAGGGCCTTCTTTTGTGGAGATTTTATATTGCACCTCTCTTGATGAAAAGCTTTGAGGGATTGATGCTGCCTGTCTGTCTGAATGCGTGTGAGACACAAGAGTCATGAACTGCATGTCGCTGCTTAATTAACTCAAAATCCCCCTGTTCCAACTCACAGGACACCTCTTCATCCTCAGTGCCCACTGAGAGTTATTGGCTGAACTATTGGGTAGTATACTGTAAACAACGTCCACCATTGCAGAAGGTTCTAATAGATGGTACTTGTAAGAGATAGGCTCCATAAATAAAAGCATCTGCACCACATCCTGACAGTCTAAGACCTATTGCTGGCTGCAGGTAAAAAGACAGATACCAAGGGTGCACTCTTGTAAGAAACAGAAGGCAGAGACAGGAGAACCAGTCCAAAGCTCGTGTGCCAGCTAACCTGACAAACAGGAGACTTTCTGCTTCGGAAACAAGTGGAAAGGCAAGGACTAATTCGTCAGACTCGTCCTCGGATCTCCCACATCCTGTGGAGCACACAGTACTCACACCTATGCACTCAGTGGCTGATAGCAATGTCAGGGCAAACAGGATGGCTTAGTGGGTAAGAGCGCATGCTGGTGATCCTGACAGCCTGGGCCTTATTCCTAGTCCTACATCATAGACGGTGAGAACTGACTCTGGGAAGTCGTCCTCTGACCTTAAACTGTTTGTCTCCCATCCCCCCCCACATACACACACACACACACACACACGTACACATATACACACATAAACATACACACACATACACACACATGCACACACACATACACATGCACATGTACACACAGCAGGGAGAATAAATAAACTAAAAGCATGATTTAAAAATTAGAAATATGAAAAATTAAAAATGTAAAATAATACTAGTTACCAAACATGGCAACATATGGCAGTTAGGACAAGGTAAGGACTTGCACGCTCTGTGTACCCTCTGTGCTGTGTTCCAGAGTTCCTTGTTACGTGTGAGAAAATTACAAAATGGCATGACTCCGATGTGGTAACTGTTCTCCACGGAACCTTGAGAGTTTCTTGTCAGGGACTCTCGAGGCCCCGGGCGTGTATAGATGTACTACAAGGTCTTTTACTTGCACTTTTATTCTCAATTAGTTACAGTTCATCTGCAATAGTAACTGTGAGCAGCTGTGTCTATGCAGTCTCCATAAAGATAAAAGGCCTCATTTTAACTTAACTCTGGTAAAGGACCTATTAAACAGCCATAATATTAATTCATAAAAGAATGTAGCAACTTTTTATTGGATCATTGACCCCTCCCCTTGGTAAATTGACATTTGCAGACATTCAAACAGATGTCTTAAATACACATGGTTATTAACATGGAAATGTGGTATTTTTATAAATTAAAATCAGATTCTCCACTGCTCAGGAGAAATCCTGACTAATAACTCTTTTGAACAAAAAAAAAATGTGGTCTTACCACCAAACTGCAAGGTCTTGCAAGACTCTGGGCAGAGCTCATGCGTTGAGCTCACTTTGAAATGATGTGGTTTTTTTTTTTTTTTTTAACTTTCCACAGAGTCTAAAATTTAGAAGACAGATTCATCTTTATTTTTATTGAATTTATTTGTTTGTATATGCACGCATGAGCATTGTGGTGATATGGTGGGTATGCACACTGAGGTCAAAGGACAACTCATGGGGGTCCTGGGGTTCGAACTGGTGTAACCAGACTTGCTAACAGGAGCCTTGAAGACCTGAGCCATCTCACTGGCCCCAAATGCATTTGTGAGCAGCTTCCCCATTGCTGCTCCAGTGTCTCCCTGAAGGACACTGATTCTTCTGCTTAATGCTGAACCATCAAGAAGATAGTTCATTGAAGCTTTGGTTTATATTTCTACTTCATATTTAAAGTCTAATTGAGCAAGACAAGAAAACTACTGGGCTTTTTAACCTGCCTGCATAGTGCAAGTCAAAACCAAAATCAATAGTAGTGAAAATGCCCATGAAGGACTTGTGAAGGGACCCGGAGATTGTTTAGGGAGCATGCAAATTCATTTGCCGCACAAGCCTGAGTATCTGAGTTCAATTCCCAGAACCTATGCATAGTGGAAGTGTGACCAGGAAGTGGCTAGCGGCCATAGTTTGACTGTGGCACATGAGCAACCACATTTACACACACACAATGAGGAATAAAATAAGATCAATAATTTATGAGGGTCCCATCTTTAATCTATCATAGGGCATATTGAAGCAATAAAGACGTATTAAAGAAAAATGTCTCCAAGGGCTCTAGTACCACATTCTCTCTAGAATCACATCTTTGTGTTTATGTTGGGCTTTTCCAAGCTTTCTCACTTTCCAGCCTTAACTCTCAGTTAAGCTTCTGAATATGCTTAATGTTTTTGCTTTCCCGTAGTTAGGCAAAGGAGAAAAGACCCTTCGGTATTTACTCAGAAACTCAGCCCTGCACTCTGCAGGAGTATGAGGTAGACAGAGACTGTTGTGGACCACACCAAACCCGTCCATTTCTCCACAGAACGGGAGGGCTTCCCCACTGCCTTGCCCACCTTGCAGACATTTGCTGAAAGCAAATGAGGTCATTCGCTAATAACCCACTTAGAAATTGTTTCTTTTCTATTTTGACATTATAATGTAATTACGTCATTTCCCTGTTCACCTTCCTCCCCCCAATCCTTCCCATACATCACACCTTGTTCCCTTTCAAATTCTCACTTTTTACTCTGTAGGCTGGGGCAGAGGTGGGGGAGGGGGCACTGTTACAATAACAGAACTGGGTTCTCAAGTCCTTGAATACTTGTTAGTTGCTTCCTGTTCTGGGAAGCGTGAATCTACTTCCCTTCCTGGGCTGTGCAACTCTTTCTTCTTGTCCCCAGTCCCGCAGAAAATGAATGTGTTTATTCTCTGCTAATTCTCTTCTGTACAACAGACTAAGTGCCCAAATATCGGCTTGCCCCCTTCGAGTCCTCTCTTTTAAATAGCTCTAATAACGCCCAGCCCTCCAGTCCACCCCCTTAACTGCCCTTCTCTTGGTGGGCACGATACAATTCAACTTACAGACTCTTTGAGCCCTTTTAGTGCGTTCACAACACCAGGCACATTGGGGATCTACGGCCCCTTTGACATATTTTAAGAGACAAGAGTCGAATATAAAGCCATTTCACTTTCAACAACACAAGCACACAAAATCATGCTTTTAACCTAAAGCAAAACCTCCCGCATTGCGCATTCGGAGGGAGCGTTGACTTTTTCTGACCCCAGGCAGCTAATCCATTTCCGTGTCCCACACAGTGCACCGGCTATAAATGTTATGGAGTAATCAGTTTCTGCGAAGGCTCTTTCGAAATAGAAGTTGCTATCCTCACTTTCCCTCTGCCCAATTCTTCTCAATAACTTCCTCCACGCGCCCAGCCTCCTGTCTGCCACCCGGGGACTCTCTTGCTTTTATGACATAGCATGCTAGCACGAGGGAAAGGTACCACAGAGGAAAACAGATTTTTTTTCTCCGAGACTCTCATTATCTCGTTCATTTCCAAAAAGTAATTGTGTAGTTGAAAGCCTGTTTGAGTTGTTTCGCTTTTTCCTTCTTGCCCCACAGAATGCCAGGCAGGCTACTATGGACCCGACTGCAGGCTACGGTGTGAATGCTCGCAGGGAGCTCGCTGCAACCCAGTCAATGGCAGCTGTGCCTGTCCCAGGAGGAGAATGGGCCCAACCTGTGAGGAGAGGGACTTGCCTCCTCCATAGCCAAAGACCCACAGTTCTTCCGAAGGTGAATAGAATCTCTTCTGCAGCTCCTGACGGTTTTTCGTCGTAACCCTGACGGGAAAATACACCAGTCCCTGGTCTCCTTCCGACATGGAGCATCAGGAAGGGAAAAGGTGACACCTTCAGTTTTCCACCCCTGTGCCCAATCCTCCAGCCCAACCTGCGAACTTCCTTTCCCTGAAGGACACACTCCAAAAAGAGAAAAGGAAAGGAAAAGAAAAAGTATTTATTCAGCATCCGAACCACAGTAACATTTGAACTAATAAAGGGCGCTTTTTAGAAAATTTGTGCAAGGCAGTAAGTATTTGAATTTGGAAGGGATAACTGCTTCGTACTGCAGGTTGGGCTGCACTGAAATATTCACACCTATTCACTGGAAACCCCAGTGCCCTTAAGTACCTGGATCCTCTTTAGAAACAGCTAGAATTTCATTCATTTGTTCGCAGAACCTACTTCCTGGTAACTCTGCTGCAGACTTCAAACACACTGCATTTTGTTTATGACTTTTAATGTGGGAGATTATTAAGATTTTAGCCCGTGGAGGATGGGATCAGAATAAAAACATGACACGCATGTGAACAGTGAGTCATGAAAATGTTAGTGGTGTTTTCCGTCTCCAGCCAGCACACAGGGAAAACAAGGGCAGAGCCGATAGGGCCAAGACCTGGCTGCCTCTGGGGATGCTCCGTTTCCCGTAATTCAGGAATAAATTGAATAGCCTTAAAACCCAAATTACTCATCATTTCCAGCAGCTCCTAGTCTTTTATAAGGGGAAGATGGGGCCAGTGTGCTATGGCTCCCAAGGAGTTTGGATATGCGTTTTTCAGAATCCTGGCTAATCGTATTAGTAAATAATAACTTTGTCGACTGAAAATGCTGCTCAAGAATTTTCAGAATAAAAACAGAGACTTTGACTATTGAAATAATATGACTATGGTTGACTTTTGTGAAATGACTAGAGTACCTTTTAACATTCAAAACTGATTTTGGATAAAATTGCTGGAAAGATTTTTGAAGAATACTTGCTGTCGTTAATTCAGCGGCGTCATTGGTTTGTAAGTAACCTTGACTCCCACGGTTGTTTTTCTCGTCGTTCTGGGGCGGAAAGGCAGAGCCTCCTCTGTAGCAAGCATGTGCTTTGCTGCTGAGCGGCTGCCTTCACCCTGCCTCAGCACATCAAAATATGTGTAACATACCTACTGAAGAAAGATGTGGCAAACTAAAGGTTACTAGATAATATACAGGCTTTGAAGAGCTCATTCTCTATAAATTTAATCTGACCCTGAAAGAGGCATGTTCAACTTATTTTCTGTTTTTTCCATATTAGCAATTAAAGTTGTATATTGCCAAGCATTGAGCTACTTAGGTCAGCAGTAATGCTACAGCTAACGGTTCAGATTAACAGAAAGTCGGGCTCTATTCTGAACCCATTTCCTTACCAGGTGTTTTCCAGTCTCTATAAAATGTTACCTTGTAATCCTCAGAGAAATCAGCATAAAAGGTAGTAGGAAGGTTGAGGGATGGCTGAGCATTAGCATTTGGGCCAGAGTATGGGTCCTCAAATATGGTTTAAATATGGCTCTCTGGTACAACGGATAGCACATTGGACTTCTAGTAACAAAAACCCACTTAAATGCCAGCTGAGCACAGTGGCTACAGCCTCAGTTACCAGATGGAGATGGGAATCCCTGTAGAGAACTGGCAGCTAGCCAAGACTCATCAGTAGGCTCTAGGTTCAACAGAGAGACCCTGCCTCAAAGAATAAAGTGGAGAGGAATCACAGAAATTTTCCAGTGTTAACACAGGCTTCCACATGCACACTGTATGCACAGGAGCATGTGCTCTTGTGGACACTCACAGACACTCACACATTTGCTTACAATACACCACACACACACACACACACACACACACACACACACACACAAGCAATGTTTTTTGTTTTGTTTTGTCTTTCAAGTCAGGAGTGTGCAGTCCTGGGTTAGCATCCCTCTCTTGCTCTAGGCTCCTACTTCACCACTTGCTAAAGATGGCAGCTGTAACAGGAGAGGAGCCCAGAATTGCATTTCTTGTCCTCACTTGAGGTTTTCTCTCCACTGAGAGAGATGACAGACTCCAAGTTTGATAAGGAAAAGCAATGAAATTTCTGTCTGCCTGTATTTGCTTTTGATACATAATACTCGTGTCTTTGCAAATGAGAAGCTGTTAGTAAAATGTTAAGCACAATTCTGGGAAAATGTCAGGTGCTTCATATTTCCCCTTCTACTCCATTCCACCTCAAACACCAAAGAAATAAATGTAAAAGATTACGAATGAAATGCAACTCGTAGCATGAATTTGCATGACTCATTGTTGTTGTTGATGTTGTTGTTGTTTTGAGACAGGGTCTTCTCACTATGTAGAGCAGGTGGTTTCTGCCTCTTGAGTGCTGGAACTAAACGCAAGTGCCACCACATCTGGATTGCATGACGCTGTAGACAAACTAGGTTTCACCTTCCTTCTTGCATGAGCAAGAACTTAGGAAAAACACCTTAGATCCTCTTCTTTGTAAAAGTTTATAAGGTGCGTCTTTCACATTAAAAATGAAACCAGAAAAAAATTGAAATCAAAATATTTCTGGTGTACTCTTGGTCACCTTGAAAAAAAATCTTTGGATTTTTTTTTAGTCAGATTTATAGCAATACTAAGCAAATACTCTAAATTTATAAATCTATAGCAAGTACTAAAATGATCAACTTAAGAAGAAAATAATGTTTAATTTGTTTGTTTAGTTTTCACTGCTGCAACTCTTTGGACTTGTTGTCTTCAGGCCTCTAGTGGGGGCTACTTATTATTGAGGAACACACGGAATTGCAGATTTGTGCATGGCGTCTGCTTATTTGTGATCAGGATGGGAAAGTTAGGGAATGGAAGCCTTTGAGGTGCTTTCACTTTCTTCGGCAGGGCCACACCAGTGACTTGGAGACTGTTTATAGGCCTTGCATATTAAACCTCCATCACCTTCAGGTAGCACCATCATGGCATCAAGGTCTTACCATGGTCAGCTCTGAGGACCACTTGGAGTGATACTCTGCAAATGAGGAGACGGTAGCTCACGTCATCCCTCCTAAAAACCACATGACTTCTGTTGGAGGATAACATGAACAACAAATTAACATTTAACAAACAAATTGAACATTTTTCTTCTTAAGAAGATAGTTTTAGTATTTGCTATAGTAATCAAAAGACAATTAATAAAAACCCAAAGAAATTGTTTTCTCAAGGTGACCAGAAGTGCGCTGGAAATTTGGTTTCAAACATTTTTTTTCTTGTTCCATTCTTAATGTGAAGGAGGTAAGCGGTAACTGGTAAGTTTTTACAAAGAAGGGGAGCTATGGTGATTTGCCATAAGTTCTTGCTGACTGGTAAAGTAAGGAAAATTATTAAGAGCAAGATATCACAGGTGGACTAACAAGCAATCAGTATTAATCTGAAGAAAAGTCACAGTACAAAGTGTACAAAATCTAATTTTCCTGCAGATGGCTTTAAGAGGATTAAACAATATTTATAAATGACGAACACTTTTAACAATATGTCATTTAAGAAATTAGTCTATTGAAACTCCATGTTTTTTTTTAAAACAAAGGAAGCATACCATTCATTCTCCACATAAAAAGCTAAGCAGGGGGCTGGAGAGATGGCTCAAGACTAAGAGAACATGCTGCTGTGAAGGATGGACCATAGTGCCAGGTGGGGCGGCTAAGGACCGCCTAGCATTCCCATGCAGGAGATCTGATGCCCCTGGCATCTGTCAGCACCCACACTCATGTGCACACACCTTCCCCCAACAAATGCACATACACATATTTTAAAATGTCCTTTAAACAATCTACGCAGTTCCTGAGAACTGTGATTTGACTACCACGCTGTAATTTCTACAACACTGTAAAGAATCTAGCTATTGTTTAAAATGGCCCATAATTTAATAGACACATCCTCCTCAAGCTAAAGTTCAGTGTCAAATTAGAATCCTTGTCATTGGGATGATTTATGTATTCCAGCTCCTGTTTCACTTCACTGTATATCCTGTCCTTTGAATGCAGAGAGGCTGACCCTTGAAGGCAGTATATCCACTCATAATATTTAACCTCTTTACAGAAGTGCCCGTGCGGCAAAGTCTCAGGCTTCCCATTTAAAACACAAGATCAGAGTGGAGATTATTATGCTTTTCTACAATAATATAGCTCCAGTTTCAAGAGAAGAGGGCAGAGGCATGGACATGTGCTCACTAATTTAAGTCTGCGTCGACATGCCTGTGTTATAGCATTTCAGCATAGCACCTAACTTTCCCTGCATTCTCTGACTTTTACATTCATTTATTGCGTTTTTCAGAAGAGGCAGCCTTTTGACATGGGTTAAATTATTTTTAGAGAACTTGGAAATCATTCCAAAACTTAGTGGCAGGAAGGCATTTCCTTTGTTAGAAACAGGAAGGAGGTTTGGCCTCTGCTGGGCCTCCTTCACCTCGGTTTCTTTGGGACGCAGGAATAGAGATGTAGCGAGAATTTAAAAGAGCATTTTGATGAAGCAAGCAAATACTAGCAAGTGTCTTACGCTCTGGAAGTTGTGTTTGCAGTCCAGTTGAAATAACATTTCATGGCTCTGTAATAAGAAAAGAAAAAAAAAAGAGTATAGCTGAGCTTTTAAAATAGTTTTCAAAAAGATTCCAAAATTTGCCCCTTTTAGCTAATCATGTGGAAACTGTATTCAGCTTTCCTCTTGAAATTCCAGTGTTTCTAAGTAAAAGGATGCCAGTACAAATAACAAAAGTCTAAACTATATGCTTGAAAGGGGCAGGCATCTTCTCTTTTTCTAAATTAGTTTTAATTTTGTTTATGCGTGGGTAGATGGATGTGAATGTGCCCATGGATGCAGATGCCCCAGGAGGATAGAGACATTGGGTATCCGTTGAGTTAGAGTTACAGGTAGTTGATATCTGCCTGATGTGGGTGCTGGAAACCTAACTCAGACCTTCTAGAAGAACAGTAAACACTCAACCACCAAGTCTTCTCTCCAGCCCTAACACACCTCTTTTATTTGGGGGGAGGGATACAACCTGAAGATCAGACAAGCAAACCTGCCAAACCACTAGAGAAATCTTCAGACTGAAAAAGAGTGAGTTCCTGTCTCATCCTGCTTTATATTCCTCTCTAGTGCTGGGATTAAAGGTGTGTGTCACCACTGCCTGTCCTGTATGGCTGACTGGTGTGGCTGCTGGGATTAAAGGTGTGTGCCACCACTGCCTGCCCTGTATGGTTGACCAGAGCACACCTCTTCCTACACTCTTCCAAATACTGACCATATTCTCTCATTACCAAATCTTACGTCATTAGTTAATGAAATATTTAACCATTTCATGTTTTAATGTTATGTAAAAATGCTTTAAAAATACTCTTCATATTTAAATAAATGCATATAACTCTTCACACCCTCAAGTGTTAGTCCTCCAATGTGATGGCAACTTAGGAAGCCTCAGCAGAGAAAGAGAGCAGAGAACATTCCCGCATCCTCACAATAGCACTGTCATTTTCAGCATTCAGTACCTACACCTTCTCTTTTGGTGGATGTAAGTGTTCCCCGTGAGTGAGAGGGGATTGGGGGTTACTGCCTTTGCCTCCTTTTCACCTCCCCCACTCCTGCTGTGCCGCTCTCAAATTCAGAGCCATCTTTTCTGTATTTGCTTACTAATCAGTCCAGTTAGTATTGATCACTTAGAATTGGGGTCTTGTCTCTAGAAAGAAACAAAAACCCAATTTGACTCCCCCGCCTCACTAGCCTGACCTCTGTAGCTTCACTTCTAGGGATGAGACACTGTGAAATTTTCCTCCATCCATGTTGGAATGTAGACTGGTGTGATTTTCGTAGGTCTTTTGCACACAGTCATACTGTTGAGGATTCACAGGTGCACACCTTTGTCCTGCTCAGTGACAGGGGTTCGAGTG